ATCAATATCATCCATAAAGATACAGTGTATACTGATCAATATCATCCATAAAGATACAGTGTATTCTGATCAATATCATCCATAAAGATACAGTGTATACTGATCAATATCATCCATAAAGATACAAGAACATTATGGGTAAATGATTATTATCTAGTTAAAGAAACAGAGTAATTATCAGGAACCTCAGAACTACTTGTAGCTCCGTATCCCTCCACCTGTCAGCAGGGCGTAGTAACTCGCTGTCCTACAAACAACACTATTTCTGAGCAGTGGAAGGTTACTGTGTCTGATCACCCTTTAAACATCTAGCTTCCTGTTTTCACTCCCGCTCTAATGAGTCTGACCTCCGCCTGCTCGCAGAGTGGAAATCAAACGCACCCGGTCGACATTAAAAAGCTCATTAGAGACCGAACAACCGCCTCTCTCTCTCTAATATCTGTTAGAGAGATCAGAGCTTGATCGGCCTGACAGAGTCCAACTGAAACACACCGCGCCGTACCGACACACACACACACACACACACACACACAGATGTGTGTGTGTAGCCTGAAGCCATTCAGCTCGAGGCGACTCTGGAAAAAAAAGAATAAAATGTTCTTTCATCTAAATTTCTCTCTTATCGTCGACGTTCTCCAAACACAAAAGCTTTTCTCTGTTTAGTGTGTGTGTGTGTGTGTGTGTGTGTGTCAGCGGGGGGTTGGGGGTGGGGGGGTGTTTGATGTTAGAGAATAAAGTCGGTCCACATATAGTTTAATGGTGATTACTGCTGCAATCTGCTCCATTATTCATCCTCATCATCCTCACTGTCACTGTGTGTGTGTGTGTGTGTGTGTGTGTGTGTGGACGTCATTGAATCTTTGATGTAACTTCATTTATCTACAGTACATATATACATATGTGTTAATATAATACACATTGATTTAATACTAATACTAATACTAATACTTAATACTAGTCAGAGGTGGAAGCACAGTTTAATAAGTTGTCCATGTGGTTATTCTTGTGATGTGGTTTTATAAAGATACATTTAACTCATTGTTATCATGGCCATTAATAGTTATTAATATTATTAATTATGAAAAGTCAACAATAAATGAAAACATAAAAACAATACAAATATAAAAGCAGTCAAACGTCTGGCTCATGCTGAGCAGAAAACGAAATAAATGGTGTGTCTGATACTCTTACCGTTTCTTCATCAGCAGGATGACTCCGAGGAAGATGATGATGAAGAGTAGGATGCCGGCGATGGATCCGGCGATCTTCACGGTGTGATCCGACTGTTTCTCCTCTTCTGGTTCTGGTTTCCTGGTCGCAGCTCCTGTAACCATTAACCTCCATTATCCAACAGTGAGTATGTCAAACTACCATTAACTTCCATTAACCAGTACAACCAATTCTTTTTAACTCACAACTGTTAACATTTACTACCTTTGACCAACATTATACCCATTTAACTACAGGTAATTACAACTGAGTTTATTCCATTTAAATATCACAAAACACAATTGATTAACCATTAACCTTTAATAAATATCACAGTTCACAACTGGTATTCTGTAAAACTTCATCAACTGCTTTTATTTACCATTAAGTTTCATCTACGGCTATAAAGTAAAGTCTGTATACGTTGTTTACAGGAAGTGAAGAGCAGAATGGATGAGATGGAAGAGACAATAGAGAGAAGCTATTGTTAATTAACTTTTTGGATAGTCAATTGGAATTAATGGGACTCAATGGTAACGAACTGTAGTGTTATAGATAGTTAATAGTTATAACATAATTAATAGTAGTTAATGGTGATTGAATGAATTAATATTGATTAATGTCCCAAGTTTGATTATTAGAACAGCAGAACTTATCTGGAATTTAAAGGCAGTTAATGTTAGTGGTAATCAATGGTTGTAATTCGTGATTAGTGGCAGTCAGTGGTTGTAATTCGGGATTAGCGGCAGTTAATAGTTGTAATTTGTGATTAGTGGTAGTTAATGGTTCTCATTCGGGATTAGTGGTAGTCAATGGTTTTAATTCGGGATTAGTGGTAGTTAATGGTTGTAATTCGTGATTTAGTGGTAGTTAATGGTTTGTTATTCAGGATTAGTGGTAGTTAATGGTTGTAATTCAGGATTAGTGGTAGTACGTCATATGTTGGAGGTGATTCAAGACATTTTTCATACGTCTGTCTTCGAATCAGAATACATTTTGAAGAAGTTCAGTTTTATTTTCATGCCTGAAGAGCAATAAAACCACTGAGCGAGGTTGTTGTAATTCATTAAAGAAAGCGTTAACTAAATCCTTCATCACAAATTTAATCCAGTTCTAATATTAGTGAATATTAATGAAAAGTTTTGTAATGAAGGTGCTGTAATGAAGGTGCTGTAATGGTGAACTGATGGAGGAGGAGGAGGAGGAGGAGGAGGTGAAGATGATGTGTGACGGACGAAGAGCAGAGAGTCCTTCTGACTGTATAATGTGATGGATGTCAGTCACATGAAAAACCCATTACTGCACTGAGTGAGTGTGTGTGTGTGTGTGTGAACAGGTGTAATATCCTTCCAGGTGACTCTGTAGATGAGAAACGTTCAGGACAAGATGTTGCTGTCGAACGTTTGTGTGTGTGTGTGTGTGTCTGTGTGTGTGTGTCAGACCTCCAACACTTTCCCATTCAGACCCTGACAGCAGCCATCAGTCACTGTGTGTCCTTACAACAGAATAAAATCACATTCAGTCTAACCAGTTACAGCTAAAGCTTTGTTCTCCGTACACAACTGTTTTAATGTATTTTTATTACTTACAAAAGCCTAAATAATAAAAATATGTGAAAATGTTTTTGAAAAGAACATTTCGTTTTAAAGGAGGCAGTTAGTAAATTGTTGCAACAACGTAACAATGTGCAATCGTAGTAAGTAAAATCTGACTTTTCTCTAAAAACATAATTTTAATGGAAACAAAACTAAACAAATCCAACTTATAATTAGTGAAATGTATAACCCAATGTACAAATAGTTAAATTAATGATGTTCAACTATTATTTGTACTGTATGCTAATAATAACACAGTGATACACCGTAATAAGGCAAAAGGGCCGAGGATCAAAAAGAAACATATTTCCTGTTTAATTTCATTTAAATATTCTCATTTATTCTCAATTAACTTTTAACTTTTAAAGACACTGAGACCATTTTACACATCTTCATCTCATTACGCCTGGATTGCTGCAACAGCCTTTCTATTGACCGACTCCACCATACAGCTGCCAGGCCTTTAACTAGAACCAAGAGATATGATCACATCACTCCTGTTTCAGCCTCCGTACACTGGCTCCCAGTGGGCTTTAGAATTGATTTCAAGAACTTAATGATTACTTTTAAGGCTCTACATGGTCTCTCCCCCTGCTATATCTCAGACCTTTTGATACTGTACACACCAGCTTGTGCTGTGAAATCCTCAGGCAGAGGTCTGTTGTCAGTTCTAGAGCATTTGGGGCACCGAGGCTGTGGAACAATGTCCCAGAGGAAATCAGGTCGGCTGAGTCAGTGAAGTCCCTCCTTAGAGTCTTTCCTGATATTACCTGAATTTTAATGTTTGGAAGTATTTTTTATTTCCTGTATTTTTTAAATGTATATTATAACAGCATTAACAACAAGCACATCGTTAATTAGAAAGTAGTAGCCACACAAAGGGCATTTACATACTGCTGTTAGAAACTGAGTACAGTTACCTGATAATGATCCTGATAAGTAATCAATACCCCCATTATTAAAGCTTTAATCAACCTTATCAGCCTTTAT